GTAACCTGCAACTCTCTTTATACTTGCATGCAATACTGCATAGGATTTATCTCCGGCGCCAAGCGCCACTTTCAGCGCATGGGTGCTTTGCATTGTGGCGCCTGGTCCATCGGCCTGACCATCGGCCTGTCCATCGGCCTCATCGGCTCCATCGGCTCCATCGGCCTCATCGGCTCGGCTCCATCAGCCTCATCGGCTCCAGCGGCTCGAGGGGCCTCATCGGCTCCATCGGCCTCATCGGCCTCATCGGCTCCAGCGGTTCCATCGGCCTCATCGGCTCCATCGGCTCCAGCGAGTCCATCGGCCTCATCGGCTCCAGCGGCTCCATCGGCCTCATCGGCTCCATCGGCCTCATCGGCTCCAGCGGCCTCATCAGCTCGGCTCCATCGGCCTCGCGGCTCGGCTCCATCGTCTCCAGCGGCTGCATCGGCCTCATCGGCTCCATCGGCCTCATCGGCTCCAGCGGCTCCATCGGCCTCATCGGCTCCATCGGCCCCATCGGTTCCATCGGCCTCATCGGCTCCAGCGGCTCCAGCGGCTCCATCGGCCTCATCGTCTCCAGCGGCTTGAGCGGCCTCATGGGCTCCATCGGCCTCATCGGCCTCATCGGCTCAAGCGACTCCAGCGGGTCCATCGGCCTCATCGGCCTCATCGGCCTCATCGGCCTCATCGGCCTCATCGGCCTCATCGGCTTCAGCGGCTCCATCGGCCTCATCGGCTCCATCGGCCTCATCGGCTCCATCGGCCTCATCGGTTCCATCGGCCTCATCGGCTCCATCGGCTTCATCGGCTCCATCGGCCTCATCGGCTCCAGCGGCTCCATCGGCCTCATCGGCTCCAGCGGCTCCGTCGGCTCCAGCGGCCTCATCGGCTCCATCGGCCTCATCGGCCTCATCGGCCTCATCGGCTCATCGGCCTCATCGGCTCCCGCGCCTCCATCGGCCTCATCGGCTCCAGCGGCTCCATCGGCTCCAGCGGCTCCATTGGCCTCATCGGCCTCATCGGCCTCATCGGCCTCGTCGGCCTCATCGGCCTCATCGGCTCCCGCGGCTCCAGCGGCTCCAGCGGCTCCATTGGCCTCATCGGCCTCATCGGCCTCATCGTCGCTCCAGCGGCTCCAGCGGCTCCATCGGCCTCATCGTCTCCAGCGGCTTGAGCGGCCTCATGGGCTCCATCGGCCTCATCGGCCTCATCGGCTCCAGCGGCTCCAGCGGGTCCATCGGCTCCATCGGCCTCATCGGCCTCATCGGCTCCATCGGCCTCAGCGACTCCAGCGGCCTCATCGGCTCAATTGGCCTGATCGGCGCCAGCGGTTCCAGCGGCTTCATCGGCATGTCTTGCTGGAAAGCCTATTACGGCCTGAAGCAGGCGGAATCAGTTGCGTCCATTTTGCGCCTATTGTTTGCTTTGCTGCCTTTTGATTAGCATTATTGGTCCATAGCCTCTTGGCTTGCGATATAGCCTCCAAGTGTCGAACGTACGGGGGGCCCCCCCCTAAGTCTCCGTTCGTGACTCTAAGTTTTCAATTTCCGGGAAAGGGCCAGCCACCTCCCCCAGTACTAAACTAGTACTAGAGTACATAGAACTCAGGTAGCCTAGGCTACCTTTCGTGAAATTTCCATGGGCACACTCAAAATCAGAATGTTCGATGGGGATCGAATCGACACAGTCTGGAAGCCTAATGTTCTGGTGAGGCATCTTGCGCACCGGAACCATAAGTAAGCTTCCGTTGCAAGTCGTAAAACATCCGAAGCAAAGAAGAGGGTGACGTTTGGGCCCCATCAAAAATTACAACTTTCCATGGGGCTCAAATCGACACAGTGTTGACCTGAGGTAGAAAGAACGCTATGGAGCCCAAATTCTGGTGAGGCATCTTGCGCATGCGAACAACATGTAGGCATCTGTTGCAAGTCGGAAAACAGCAGCACCAAAAAAGATGGTGCCTCTAGAAAGTTTGGAACATGTGAACCAAAGAAGATGGTGACTCTATAAAGTTTGGGCCCCATCGAAAATTACCATCGAAAATTATAATTTTCAATGGGGCTCAAATCGACACAGCTTTGTTTACCCGAGGATATCGAGACGACTGTTTTGGTGAGGCACCTTTGTATCCGGACAACATGTAAGCTTCCGTTGAAAGTCGTAAAACATCGGAACTAAAGAAGATGGTAACTTTAGAAAGTTTGGGCCCCATCCAAAATTATATTTTTTCATGGGGCTCAAATCGTGTTGACCTGAAGCAGGAAGAACTCGATGGAGCCTCATGTTCTGGGGACGGACTTGTTGCCGAAGAGTGCCATCGCAACAACAAGTAATCCTCCGTTTCAAGTCGTAAAACGTCAGAACGAAAAAAGATAGTGACTCTGTCAAGTTTGGGCCCCATCCAAAATTATAATTTTCGATGGGGCTCAAATCGACACAGTCGTGACCCGAGCCAGAAAGAAGTATAACGCCGGACGCATGCTTAGAACCTGTGGAAATTTTCCAAAACGCTCGGGTATGATTTTTTTTGCGCACTTAGAACCTCTTAGGTTCTAAGTGCGAGTCCGGGGATTCTAAGTGCGAGTCCGGCTTTATTTGGGCGAGGTTCTAAGTGCGAAGCCCCCCAACCATTTGCCTCATCCCCTATCATTCCTATAACCAGGGTAAAAATATATAACATAATATGTTCAACATAATTATGATCAGAAAACACACTAGAATCAATATAATGTGGAACGAATCGCATTCTTTTCTGCTAGGCAGAGCAGCTGTCACTATTTAAAAAACCCTTGGTGGTCTTAGCCACCTAGCCATCCCACACAAAGGCAAAATCCATCACCACTAGTCAGCTGGTGCACCTAGAACACAAAGCCACAGTCACAAAAATATAACCCTTATCAAGGAACATGTTGGCATTCCAAAATGGGCATACTCGATCAGTGTAGGTTGCGATTTAGGAGGCTCTTAGTGTGAAAGTCCGCATCTGTCTGCCTGGTTCCCTGCCGTCCCGCGGACATATGCAACATCTAATCTGATCTATAAAGACCTTGACGAAGAAACATATTGGCACACCAACCTGGAAAGATTCTATCAGCGTAGTTGTGATTCAAGAGGTTCTAAGTGCGAAAGTCCCCACCTATCTGCGTGGTTCTGCATGGTTCCCTGTCATCACATACCTAATCAGATCTATCAAACCTTTATCAAGGAACATGTTGGCACTCAAATCTGGGCAGGTTTTATCACTATAGGTTGTGATTTAGGAGGTTCTAAGTGCGAAAGCCCCCACCTATCTGCAAGGTTCCCTGCCATCCCGGGGACATAGGCAACATACCTAATCTGATCTTTAAAAACCTTACATATCAAGAAACATGGTGGCACTCCAATTCTATCAGCGTAGGTTGGATTTAGGAGGTTCTACGTGCGAAATTCCCCACCTATCTGCATGGTTCTGCATGGTTCCCTGCCATCCCGTGCACATAGGCAACATACCTAAATTGATCTATAAAAACGTTATCTATCTGCAAGGTTCTGCATTGTTCCCTGCCACCCCGTGCACATGGGCAACATCTAATCTGATCTATAAAACCCTTATGAAGAAACATGTTGGCACACCAACCTGGGAAGATTTAAACTCTACCAGTGTAGGCTGTGATTTAGGAGGTTCTAAGTGCGAAAGTCCCCACCTATCTGCGTGGTTCTGCATGGTTCTGCATGGTTCCCTGTCATCCCGTGCACATAGGCAACATACCTAGTCCAATCCATAAAACCCTTTCTGACAAACATGTTGGCACATCAACCTGGAAAGATTTTCATTCTACCAGTGTAGGTTGTGATTTAGGAGGTTCTAAGTGCGAAAGTCCCCATCTATCTGCGTGGTTCTGCATGGTTCTGCATGGTTCCCTGCCATCCCGTGCACATAGGCAACATCTAATCTGATGTATCAGACCCTTATGAAGAAACATGTTGGCACACCAACCTGGGAAGATTTTAATTCTACCAGTGTAGGCTGTGATTTAGGAGGTTCTAAGTGCGAAAGTCCCCACCAAACTGCCTGGTTCCCTGCCATCCTGGGCACATAGGCAACATACCTAATCTGATCTATAAACGTCTTACTAAGAAACATGGTGGCACTTCAATCTGGGAAGATTCTATCAGCGTATAGATAGCCTCCCATCACCAGTCTATATAACCATTACCCAAGCATTATCAAGAAACATGTTCGTGCTCCGATCTCACAATGTAGTAGTCAAAGTATGATTTCAGAGGTTCTAAGTGCGAATCTCCCCAACTATCTACATGGTTATAAACATATGTAGATGTTAACTCATATCATTAAAGATACTCATGATTTTGAGAGGTTCTAAGTGCGAATCTCCCCAACTATCTACGTGGTTATAAACATATGTAGATGTTAATTGATAACATGGAAGATCCTCATGTCATAGGAAGAGGTTCTAAGTGCAAGGTTTTTTGGGTTCTAAGTGCGATTTGCTCGTATACCTTTGTTTATGTTAAATTTTCCAAAAACGGTTCTAACCATTTGTCCGGCGATATATAGCGAGCCGAATGTGCTGGTGAGACATCTTGCGCACCCGAACAACATGTAAGCTCGCGTTGCAAGTCGCAAAAAATCTGAACGTAAAAAGACGGTGACGGGCCCCATCCCCAATTATAATTTCCGATGGGGCTTAAATCTCGACAGTGTCGGCGGACATCAAATGGACAGTAAAAGAAAAGCAACAAATCCTGAGCTAGAGATTTACAAAGGGACGGCCCTGGCAGGATTCGAGCCCATGACCATCTGCTTCCGAGACTGCTTCAAAATGCCCCGGGAGCTTAGGGGGGGAAGGGGGGAGGGGGGTTTCAAGTGAAAAATCTCTGTGTTGGACTCGAAGTAAGAGTAACTCAGCTAGCTACCGCTAGCTTTCGTGACTTCCCTCTTTTAGGTGGATCTTCAGTCAAAGGCTGAACCTCGACTTCTGGGACTTCCTTTGGGCCCATGTCGCTATCCAAGTGACCCACAAAGTGCCAAAATGCCAAAACCCAAACACCCAGGGCAAGGTCCTTCACCGCCCAAGGACCACAGGTGACCACAGGTGACCACAGGTGACTGCAAAATGGAAACCCGATTTCTTCTCCTATCATTTTGTGTTTGTCTGAAAATAGGGATTTTGATGGTGTTTGTAACCCTAAACATCCTAAACCCCCAAAGATTCCACCTGATTCCATGTCGTCCTGTGTTCGAAGCTCACAGCCTCGCAGCGTCGTCAATCGCTCCAGGAGTCGAGGGATAAAGAGCTGCAGACGCGTCAACGACCAGGTGACCTGGCCATCCCCCTGGAATCGGTGGAACGGTCCATAGCTTTTAAGCAACAAAAACTGGGGAAATTACTATGGATTTTTGACATGATTTACCATGATTTACAGATTGGTTTACCATGATTTTACCCGTCAGGAATGGGAAATGTAATGAAATGTAAGGCATCAAACTGTGGAAAATCATCCAATTGGGTCGGCATTTCCTCTGTCTTTCAGACCGCCAAAACACTCCAGCCCATCTCATTACCGGAAACCATGGTTCTTCATTTCAGATATGGAGGTTTCATGAGGTTTCCACTGAAAATTCCCAAGAAAAGCACCACTTTTTCCCAGGCGCCTGCACCAGCGTGGCGCTAGCGACAAACGTCTCGACTTGGAGGACTTCGGCGGCTCGCAGTGCCAGGTGTGCGGCAGCAGGCGACTGAGCACAACTGAAGCCATCAGAAATACGTGGTGAAAATACTGTGGATGGTTGCGAAAAATATAGAAATCCTGCATCACCTTGGATGGTTGAAAGCCTATAACGGGATAAAGCACTGTTTTCAACTGGTGCAGGATTTCGCAAGCATCCACCGTGTGTTGCATCCCACTAAATAGGGGAAATCCCACTATTCAAAATAGGATTTTTTTTGAAACGATTCATTTTCTATCTATTACGTATTTACAAAATCGTGAAATGAATAGATGGAAATTTATATAGTAAACTACATATTACCAATAGATCTTGAGTAAACTACATATTACTAATAGATATCTCACTAATGGTAGGCCATACTCAAGATCTAGTGGTTTTTTGTCAGCGATCATCTGGACATATCGATATATCTCAACATGTCTCAACAGTACATACTCTCAACAGTACATGCTACATATAGCATCATATAGCCATACATAGATATAAACTGATAAATGATGGTGAGATGATGAACAAGAATCAGCGGCGAGTTGCCCACTGGATAGAGAACATTGGATGAACCCGAGATGGCTATGGTTCACGATATCAAAACAAGTTGCCCCGTGATTTTCGTGCGATGAGTGCGATGGGTACATTAAATCATATTAAATCATTAGGTACATCTCAATCAATTAGTCTAAATTATAGCAATTCACTCATCTGAGGTAAGCTTATTTTGGGAGACTTAACCACTAGCCATGGCCATGGCCATCATGGATTTCGAGGCTTCAGTCATCCAAGGGCCTCGAGCATGGCAGCCGCCCATGCGCAACGTGAAAGATCCAGTGATGAAAACTCCTCCACTCGCTCTGCCGCAGCAATCCTGGATGATCTCGATGGATCTGGATGGATCTGGATGAATAGATCATGACTTCACCCACAAAAATGCGAAACAAAAAAACAAACACCCCAAACCGTTCAAAAAACATCAAGAGAATTCAGATTTCACCTGTGCAATGATTTCCATCAATTTTTGACCGTGTCCAAAGTGCAAAGTGCTTTTACCAAAACAGGTTGAAACAGCTGCAGCGGCAGCTTCGCCAGGTTTCAGCAGCTTCGAACCAGTTCCAGCTGCCGTAGCTTGACACCACAACAACTGCGCCAGCTGAGAAGCATCCGGATCCAACAGCAGAGCATCGTAGTGACCCTTCGAGACACCTGGCGATTTTCAGATCAGATTCAGATCAGATTCCACCATGAAAAATCCAGTTTAACAAGGGTTGATTAAATGGGATATAATGATATAACTATAGTTAATAAGAGGAAACTCTTCAAAATCCAAAATCATCCATCATCTTGACACAATCTGCCGTGCCTGCCATCAGTAGGGGTCCAGCACCGTCTGAGCCAGTCACACTCAGCGCCCAAATCATCCCCAGCGTAGGTGGCTGCTTCAAGCCTGTCATGAACATGAAACGTCATCGTGCCATCCCAAAAATCACATTACCATCTGGTCAGCAGGTAGTTTGGATCTGGTCAGAATGGCTAAATTAGTACAGCGAACCCAGGCTGACAGTTTGGGATGGATTCTGAAACATTCCGGAGATCTGTTCCATAAAAATTATTGTCCATATCATTGATGGTTAAGTCCATGTTGCGTTTCTTCTTGATGGTCAAACTCCCCCTTGTTTGTTTATGCTTCAAATCACCTACTCTTCATGGTGAAATCGAAGATTTCCCCAGTTTTCATACACTTTCCATCTGCCATGGCCGCCATTGGCCCCACCCTGAACTGTCTCGCTGATGCCGCAGGCTTTGCCACGGACCGCCGCCAGGGCCCAGCAAAGGTTCGGCAGGTCGCGCTCCGAAGCGCCCACGAGGATGGCCTGTTTTGCGATGACCACTGGGAGGACCAATTGGGATGTTTGATGGATGGGAGAACTTCAGTTTTTTGACCTTGGATGTTTGATGATAACTTTTGATAAGACTGAGACCAATGGTTGGGATATCTCTGGTGTCATGAAAATAATTTCTATCAAAGAAGCGATGATCTAGCGATGATTGGGATATCTTTTTGGAGGATCCGGATCCGCACCTACGTGTTGTTCGAATCATCTGGCCAGTTTGGGCGTTCTATGCTGGCAAAGTTGGGTTTGGTGCTGCAAAGTGAATGCCACAACTTGCAGTACAAATCTGTAGCTGTCCACCTCTCAGATCTCTCAGGGAATTGGGCAAAGTTTCGCACAAAATGTGGAACGAACACGCAACAAAATGTGGCTGAATCACTACCGACAGGCCAAACGAATGTCCTGGGTTTGTTGTCCGATTCCAGCTAAACCAGGAGAACAGAATCATCGAAACAGTTTAATTAACTGTCATTCACTACCGTGATGATCCAGTGTTTAATGGAAGTAAAGATCAAAATGAAGTAGCTCTACACCAAAAATGGCTAAGATAATGGCCAATATCTATGTTTTGGGGTCTTAAATTTTTATCAACATTCCAAGTGGACAGCATCACAATGTCACAATGTAAGATCCAGGGCAGAAATCTTGGTCAGTGAGGGGTCATGTCTTGTGTCTCTAAACCATCCCATTTAGGGGCTCTGAACTTTCCATAGACAACTTATACCCACATTGGCTATGGGTTTTGAGGGTCAAAACCCAGCTACCTGGTTTTAACATCAAAGCATCTGGTGTTTTTGAATACAATGAATATAATGTAGTAAACGGTAAACCCAAGGCCATAGAGCTGTAATTCGGGGAATGCTTTAGACCACCTATTTCTGGAGCGTTTATTATTGGGTATACCGTAGCAACTTCCAAAAAGATACAGTTACTTTCTACCTTTTCAGGTTTAGTACACTATGCACATGAGGCTTTCAAAAATATGGGCACCCCAAAATCATCCAATTTGTGGCAATGTGTTTAATGGGAAAACCATGGTTTTAATTGATCCACCATTTTCCGAAACATGGCCACAGGTGGGACCATTGAGCGGCACCTTCTCGACCAACATCTCCACTGCTCTTTGTTTCCGCGAAGCGCTGATGGTCGCCACGGCCTCAACGGCAGTTTCTGGACATTAATACAATGAGAATGTGTGTACAATGTCTATATAATGGGATGATAATGGGATAATCATGGGACATTTCAGAGGGATACGGTATTTGTCTAACGATTGAATTTAGGGGAAAAACCCTCACTCCCCATACACTTGTACCATATCAAATTCCGAAAAAAATGCATCACGGTTGACCAAACAGATGTTGGAAACGCCTTTGTTGAAGCATTTCCCTGCAGAATTCCGCAGGTTGAATTTCAACCAGGGATTTTTCACTAGTCTTGCAACCAAACAACGCTTTTTGGGTTCCAAGACTAGAAAGTTCCACCGTTTCTTGTTTTATTCGGACGGTTTGGATGGCTCAGGAGTGGTGATTGAATACGGAGACTGCTGAAAATGTTCAGGCTTACCAATAGCCTATTGATCTGTGATCAATGGGTTTGTCGGAGATATCACCACACTCGTACAAATCCATGCTATCAAAAGACCAGACAACAAATCTAGCAAGCAATTTGGTTGTCCCGGCCCCCCATCGTTCCCAAAATCACCGTTCCAGCCCAAGCACGAGACAAGTGGAAGGCAAGGGGCTTACTTGGGATGAAATCTGCAATTTTATGGTGACAAAACTGTCACAGTACGTTGTGGAAAACTTTGGATGTGTGCAGGGCGTTCGACCAATCAAAAAACATTGTTCTAAGTACTTCAGGGAAGCAGTAAATGATCAAGCAGAACATGGAAGCAAGACACGAAAAATTGACTAATGTTGAAGTTTGACAAATTGAGATTCAAAACGATGACAATTAAATAAACTAAATATTGACTGAATTTGAGTGTGAAGGTGATAGCTACAATATGCTGAATTGGAAGGACAAAACCGAATTACAAATATCTCTCAACTTGCATGCTTCGATATCATCGGTTGCAACATGCACTTCGGTCAATGTCAATGTTTTACTCGCACGAATGATTTTGTTATTTTTAAAATATATTTAAAGAAACATTTGCACAATCCTATGGATGATTTCTAGTAAATAATCCGTTTTAAGCTAAAAATATTGTTCAAGGATATCTTCCACACTTGTGACTGTGCAAAAGTTTCCGTTGAAATTCTATGAGGGAAACCTTGCCCCTGTTTCGTTGGAGCTTACTTGTTGAAAATCCCTTTGAAGAGTGCTGTGTTGAGTGAGTATCATCTTCAAAACGATTTTGTAATGGAAGCGTTGAGGTTGTTTTGAAATGATGGTTAGGTTGAGCTGAGAGATTGTCATGAAACGATTGCTGAAATTGTGTCTTGAATGATGGTTTTGAATTATGAGATGTTGTTTTGAAATCGTGGTTGGATAATGTCTTTGAGTGATGGTTGTTCTGAGCTTGTGATGAAAAGTTGGTTGAATGATGTTTTTGAACGCTCTTTATCAGCTTATTATGAAATGATCATGAACATGTAGCGGGCGGGGACAGGGGCTTGACAGGTTGGGAAGATGGGCAAGGCCAAGTAACCCAGGCTACATTGGTCAGCTGCCTGCAATTGACAGTTGGTTGAAGATATCCCCAAATCAGGGCTGCTTGGATAGCCTGTGGTACAACTATTGTGGGGCAGTTTGAACTATTCTCTTCTACCTATAGGTTTAAACCTTGTAAAGAACCAAGGAAAAAACAGTGGCATCAAATCGTTTGGGTGATGCAGCTTGTATTGGTGAACAAGTTTTGGCTAATCAACCTCTAGTGGTGCGATATATAAATAAACTCAAGAGTGGTAGATCAACTCATATTTGGGAATTCGGATAGAGTGATAGAGTCAATAGCAACCATTTGTCACTTCCCCAACATCCTATTGACTACAGAGATCGCTGATGAAACATATCCATCATAGTCTATAGATGTCGATAGCCCTCGTTCATCCTCAATTTTCAAAAATATCCCCATTGCAATCACCGTTCTATTCCCATTATTGTTGCTATAGAGCTAAATCTCCGTTCAATCCCATGTGTTTGACGATAAAATTCATGGTTCATCCCATATTAAATCACCATGAAATCACCATGAAAATCCATATAATCACCATCTAATCCCGTAGTAGAACCCATCTCTTCCGACCCAGTCGGAAACCCATCTGCCTCGTTGATAGCCTGAATGCCACCTGCAACAACCTGGCTTCCAGGGCATCGACGAGGGGCGTGAAGGCGGACTTGAAGCAACTGGCCTCAAGACGATTTGGGGCTGCGGCTGAGGGAAAATGATGGAGAGTCCGCCTCAATCCCTAATTGTTCCGTATTTTTTTAAGAGATTGACATTGAAATTCACATTTTCAGAAGTGAATGATCATTTCATGTCTATGGCATTTAGGGTGTATTGTTCCCTAAATTTCCAGAACGCCTGTAATCCAAAAGTTGAACCATCCGGGTTAAATGATAGGATTTTGGGGTGCGGTTTCACAATCTTTCGTGGGTATGTGGGTTTCACAATCTTTCGTGGGTATGTGGGGGCTATAACCCAGCTTGTGAAGCTTATAGATGGCCCATCATCAAAACCAACCATGGTGACTTTATCCCCCCAAGAAAACAGAAGAAGAAGAAGAAGAATAGCAATAAGCAACTCATGGTGTTGTTCTTACATATATATATATATATTATACAGTATATACACATATATATGATAGTTGGATACTAATGGTAGTGGGATCGTAATAGCAATAACAAACTCATGCAGAAATCTTCGGATCTTCGCCTCCGTTTCTGAGGCATCGGCTGACCAAATAATGCTGGCCAAATCCAACGGTTTCCTTGGGACCAACGGACGTGTCCAACGTGTCACCGACTTCACCGGTGTTGGGGCATTGTTTTAGGTGAACTTCCAATTCGGATGCCCCAATTTGGAATGGAAAAAACGACATGTTTTTGGTTTTCATCCTAAGATCATCGTCAATTTCATCGGTTTCGGATGCCCTATTTTCATCAAAGTCCCAAGGTTATTATGTTGGTGGCTGTGGTAAGGTACCTTCACCATGTCCATGGATTTCTTTTCACCAAGTCCCTATACTTGTCTTGACTCCTGGATTCTGGGGAGTTGACAGCCCGTCAGATTTTGTCCCAGCAAAAACCCATTTCACCATCTATGACTATTGACCCTCAACAAAATACGAATCATTGCCATTAACCATCAATGATAATGTCATAATTTTAATGATCATCAATATGGAACATACAATCAATGGTACACTGATATTTTTCATATCACCGCTGATATTTACATTACAAATAATCATCAATAATGTGAGTGGATCGTCTTTACGAATCATTGTGAATGTTAACCACAAAAAAATACATCCCTAACCATACTTTGTTAACCATAAACACCAATGAAGATTAATAACGTATGGTTAACATTAGTAAATTCATTAAACATTTATCAACCATTAACATTCATAGAATCATATCCTTAACTTCCTTAACCATTTTTCATCCATGAAATGATGATATCAAATCCATTCAAATCCCATATTTGTTGCCATCGTTTTCACCCAAAACCTGGGCGGTTTCCAGCCATGGCTCAACTCCTGCGCTCTCTCCGGCAAGGCCTTCGCCAATAGGGAGGCTTGGAGACATCCACCGCCTCAAAGGGGTGCAGACGGTGAATCTCACATTACTAGATACGCTGTGTATGTCTGTGTATGTATGTATATATATATGTGTGTATATGTGTATGTATATATATATGATATGTATATATATATGATATGTATATATATATATGATATGTATATATAGATATGTATATATAGATATGTATATGTATATATAGATGTGTATATGTATATATAGATGTGTATATGTATATGTATATATAGATATGTATATATATGTATATATATAGAATATACTGAACTTCGTATTGTGTATATCCAATGTGTATGTGCAATAAGTATCTATTGACATATATATATGTGTGTGTGTCTATATATTTACTACCATTTGTTTCTAACTGGATCATATATGAATCGTCATACTGGAACTGGACCATCCCATTCCAACTGGACCATTTTACATCCTCAGCTGTGTCCAATGACGAATCATGGGATTGTTATCCTCCAAGTAGATGACACCACCACTGGACCAACATATCAGAAGCCCGGAAAAACGGTTCACTCCTCATTCATTTTTGTGGTGTTTCGTACGGATTGTTACAATAATCTTGGATCTGCGTAAGGAACCCAAAGTATTTGTATAACTTATATATATATACATATGTTACATATAATAATTATATATTCCCAAGAGCTTCCCCGAGAAGTAGATTTCCCTTTGGATCAATCTTCCAAGCATACCCTCAGGCGTGCCTGCCAGTTTGCTGATGGCCCAGAAGCAGTTCGCGAGCCCCTGCGGAGACATGTCCTGCTTTGTTTTGGTCAAATCCCCCCACCGAAAAGCTTCGTCAACTACCGCATGTTGCCCGAAAAGCCCCATGAACTCCTGGAAAAAAATATGTGCATATATATATATATACATATATATATATATATTGTAAAATGGCAGTCGACTGTTGTATGAACTGTTGATGCCGGAGCTGTGCGCACTGTTGCCTTTTGCACTGTTGGGCAATGGCTCAAGGCCTGTAAGCCACATGTGAGACATGGTATGCATGTTGGGACCAATGTTACATTCTAACACGCCCCCTCGACATGTTGGCTATTGTTGCCTGCATGGCGAATCTAAGAATGTTGACACTGTACACTTTACATTCATCAGTTGTTGAAGAAAGATGTTGTCTATTGAGATAGTGTACATCTATTCATCGGAAACTAATGTTGTCAGCTGCACTCCATGTTGACGTCGCCATCATCTCTGTTGGTTTGGAGTGTTGACTCCAGGATGTTGCAGTTTCACCCTTTGTTGCTGAATTGTTCAGCCATCCCGTGCCTCCACGCTGTCCTCGATGTTGTGAGGCATGTCCTCATCATCTTCTCTGTTCTCTGGGTTGGAACTGTTGCGATACTGGTTGTACTTCGCAACGAACTGTTCCATGTTGGTGTTGGCTGTGATCCATTCGATCACTCTGGCGTTGCCCCTCAATCTCTCCATAGTCTTGTTGCCTCCCATGGAGATTTGTTGGAGATGACGCCAATTCTGAGGTGTTGACAGCAATCCCCATAGGCGAACTGTCTCATCAGTGGACAGTTGTTGGAGCACTGTTGCCCCAGAGTATTCCAACGATTGGAGAAAACAGATGAAATGACCGTTGTTCTCAGCAGAGATCAACGATGTTGGAAACACGTAGTTGTAGGTCCACATGTAGTTGTTGGACCAAGACAGCTCTGTTGTCACCTGATGAAGGACAGTGTTGTCCCTTGACGAGGTGACTTCCCAGATCTGTGTTGATACCTGTTCATCAAATGTGAACCGCATGACGTTGCCTGCCTGGATCTGTAATTGAGGTCGAACGTAGCCACGGTTGAAGATGTCGACCGTATTGTTGCCCAGGCGTTGGAGTTGTTTCAGCTTGTTGACAACCACACATGTCAACATCCACGTGTGGTGATTTGCTGACTCCAAATGCAACTCTGTTGCATGATAGGCACATGTTGTGACCGCGGCACCTGGGTCTGTTGACCAGATGGCTTTGTCAAACTCTGGCATGAGGATGTTGCCACTAATCCCCAAGAGTCGGTTCGTTGTTGGGCACAGCGCTGACTGATGGATCTCTGTTGGAAGGCAGATCCACCATGCTTCCAAACTGTTATTCTCCATCATCATGTTGAAGGCATCCGGGTTGAGGCCTTCAGGGTTGTTGGTCGCGCTCATCTGAATGGCCCTTGTTGTCAGGCCAATGCTGCCCAAGGTCACCTTGTGTGGGGACCTGTTCACAGGTGGAGTTGTCAACGCATTGTTGACCAGGGACATTGTTGCCGTAGGTGTCAACGATGTTGAAGCTCGAGGTCTTGTTGAACCAAACGGCTTTGATCAGTAAACTTGTTGTCAACGAAATGTTGACATTCAAACATCAGATGCAAAACATGTTGAATTCAAGAAAACTGTTGAAACACTGTACTCGAAAGTCGACATGTTGTCAAACGTGATCATGTTGCCAAATACGTCCACAATCATGTAGTACACATCATGTTGAAGAAGTATATGACATAGTTGATCATGTAGTGATACTTCATGTTACGAGGATGTAGATGTAATAGAGGATGTTGCTGACCTTTGTCAGCACCATGGCTCTCTGGATCTGTATGTCTGTGTGTGCATGCTACGCACGATGTTCGCACGTTGTGCACGCGCTCGCACATGAACACGCATGCTGCAGTGAAACTGTTGTTGTTGCTTGTTGTTGTTTGCTCAGTGACGCTGGGTGCTGATGCCAACATCACTGATGTGACGCAAAAGCGTCTCTGTCGCGACGTACTTGGTGAAAATGTCGGCCGGGTTATTGGTCGTGTTGATCTTGACAATCCTCACAAGATCGTGTGCGACCAGTTGTTGTATGAAAAGGTGCTTGAGCTCGATATGTTTGGCTTTCTTTGATGCTCCAATCCTGGTTGCCATGCTCTTTCCGCTTGATGAGTCGGTGTGTATGCGGATGTTGATCTTCTTCATATTGAGAGCTTCCTTCAGGAAATTGCTGATGTGGAGTGCTTCTGTTGCTCCTGTGTTGATCGCGTAGAGTTCTGCTTCCGCGCTGCTCAGCGCGATTGTTGCCTGCGTCCTGCTTCCATAGTGGATTGTTGCTCCAAAGACTTTGATCAGAAATCCTGTTGTTGACTTCCTCGTTGTTGCACATCCTGCCCAGTCGCTGTCGACAAAGACTTGGATGTCTGGTACTGCTTCAGCTGTTGGTGTCTTGGTTGTTGGTCTTATGTATTGTTTGTAGTGTTGTGTTCCCTTGATGTACCTGAGCAAGTGTTTCAGTTTCTGCTGGTCTGCTGTTGTTGGTTGTGTCAGAGCTCTTGCAAGCTCCTTTGTTGCAAAGCCAATGTCTGGCCTTGTGTAGGTCATCCATTGTAGCTTGCCAACCATTCTTCGGTAGGCTGCATGTTCTTCTTTGTTGAGTTCTTGTTCCATCTCTGATGTTGCTTTCAGAGTATTGTTGCCTGGTGCTGGTGCTGAGTTGCAGTTGAGCATGCTGGCTTCTTCCAGCAGCTGTGTTGTGTAGCTGTCTGCTAAGCTGATCTCGTAGTAGTCACCTTTGTTGCAGATGTTTCTGCCCAGAAAGCTGATGGTGTTGCCGACTGTGAGTTCTCCTGTAGGACGTAGTAGAAGGTGTTGCTGAATGCTCTTGAACAGCTTGTTGACCGTCTCCTGTTGTCCAATGAAGAGCAAGTCGTCGACGTAGCATAGTATGTAGGCATCTCCTCCAGGTGTTGCGTAAACGTTGGGCTCGCTGACAAGTCGTCGTAGTCCAAGTTGTTGCATCACCTCTGCTAGGTGATTTTGCCATGCTTTTGGGCTGCTGCGTAAGCCATAGATGGCTTTGTTGAGTCTCCAAACGATCTGGTCGAAGGCGTTGTAGAACTCTGCTGGTGGATACATGAAAAGATCTGCTGTTGCTGCTGCGGCATGTAGAAAGGCTGTTGAGATGTCTCCTGTGAGACAAATCCAGTTGTTGCAAAGTGCTAAGACAAGTAGCATCCTTAGCACGCAGAAGATTGGTGTTGATGCAAAGATGTCGTCGTTGTCGTTGATCTCCTCAGTGTAGCCCTTTGCTACAATTCGTGCTCGAACTGTGTTGCCTTTCTGTCGAAGGACCCATCTTGATTTGATGATCTTCTTGCGTTGTTCTGGTGTAAGTTGGCTTATGTGTACCTCTGTGTACACTCCTTGTTCCTTCATTGACTTGATTTCTTGCTTCATTCCTTCCGTTGTTTGTTCTTTTTCTAAACCTTCGGTGTTGCTCACCCAAGGTTCCAGGAGAATCTTTTCAGCTTGTATCTCCTGTTCATCTTCGTTGGAGGTTGCTTCTATCTTCTGTCCTTTCCTCGTTGTGACTGTGACTTGTGATATCCTCATCCTTGTTGTTGGTGGCTCCTGAGCTGTGTCAGGTCGGCTGGCTGCTGTGGCTCTTTCTGTTGTCCTTGCTTGCTTTGGTGAGCTGCCTTGTGTAATCTCATCTGTTACTTCTCTTTTGCTTTGTGTTGGCATTGGAAGTGCTTGCTTTGCTTGCTGTGTTGCTGGCGCTGTTGCCATTGGAAGGTCCGTAAGTGCTGGTGGTGGTGTAGCGTGTGGTTGTACCATGGCTTTTGGTTGTGGACTCTGCTGAGTCTGTGTGCTTGTTGTTGTCTGCTGCTTTGCTGCAGCAGGTTGTGGTAGTACCACAATGCTTGGTGTTGTTGGTGGTATCATGGCTGGCGAAGAGTTGATGATGTCCATCAACTGCTTGTTGTACTTGTCTGGCTTGATTTGTCTTCGAATGGTCCTTGCTTTGACCACTTTGTTGCTGATGCCAAGTATGTTCTCGTTTGTTGAGTTGTCCTTACCTAGCCAGATGGCTGGGTAGAACCTTGCTTCCATCTTTGGCATCTGCTTTGCTGTTGGTAGCATGTAGAGAACTGTTTCACCAAATTCACATATTGGTGTTTTGTGTTCTTTGCCCCATCGTCTATAGTAGCTTG